GCGCTTTCCACGCTGCGTGGGCGGGGGTGCGCCTTCCTAAGCCGCCTGGCTGTGCTTTGCTCGCCGCCGGGAGAGGGGCCGGTCCCTTTCCCTCCGGCAGGAGGCTGGCCGAGTGTGGCGCTTTGGTTTTGGCTGCCGGCGCTTCTTCGCCCCCTCAGCTCCCGCGGGGAGCGGCACCTCTCAGGACTGGCAAAGGAGAAGAAGAAGTAGACAGGGCAACTTCTTGGTTGTTCTCCTCAGCCAGGAGCCGGAGGGGGGGGGGAAGCGGGCGGCGGGAAGAGACGGAAAGAAAGGACGAGAGGAAGTGTCTAGCCGAAAGAGGAAGGGTCGGCGTTTGATACATCTTTTTGAACAGTCTGACTCAGAGGTTGCCGGACCAATTCTCTCCGAAAAGAAAGAAAGAAACCTGCAGGGTTAGGGTTGTATAATTGTAAAGTGTGGGAGAAGGGGACCTTCGCCTCCTTTTCGGGAGGGGAGGTGTCTGTGGTTCAGAAGCATCTCCTTCCAGTCAGGGGCGCCTGGAAATACGAGATGGGGTTGGAGCTTCCAGATGCATTTATCAAGCAACCCACTCCTGTCCTTTCCCTGTGAGTCAGGCACAAAATGAACCGCTTCTGCCGCCGCTGTTACTTTTGTTCCAAGGAGGACCATCAAGAGAAACAGCAAGGAGAAAAAGGGGTGCCAAGTGTCATTAATTGCATGTCTCTGGATGGAAAATGGCAGCTCATAAATTTAATAAATAAATAAATACTGTAATATTATAACAACATACCAAATCAGGAGGTTATGCTGAGTTGTCTGACTTTTGCTTAAGTCTTCGAGCTCAAGAGTATGTGAATAGACAGCGTTTCAATAAGAGTTGCTGTGAGAATGATGAAACCCTAGGCAGCTTACAAAAGCAAATGCTTATTCAGGACATGCTTGTTCAGTAGCAGTTTTGGGCATGAAGCCGGCATCCATCTGGAAAAACTCATCTTGCACCAAGAAGTGAAAAATCCAGCTTCCTGCAAATATTTAGACAAATACGTACCTCCTTTCTCCAATAGAGGTGGACAGGGGACCAATTTATATGACATTTTAGAAGTTGCCTAAATTTGACTAAAGGTAACAGATATATACACTCATTTGATTTTACTGTACACTACTTAATAATCTGGTATATCATCCTTGCTATGTTTAGCTGAAATGTAGAAATAAACTACATTTTCTTCCCTCCTCCTCCTCCCCCTCCCCCTCTGTATTTCTGATTAAAAGGACAGATGCTGGAAGTCAAGTTTACTTTTCCCCAATAATATGCCAAATAGATTTAAAGATCACTGTATTCTGCATTTATTGGGTAAAATGGCAATGCAAAATAAAATACACAATTTAAATGATCTGTACTTTTAAAATGACAACTTAACATGCTTTCCAGTCGAATATCAGAATGAATTATTCAAGGAGATTAGGATTGTCTTTTGGTTTGAACTTCAAAATCCAAGAATCTTGTGACACAGCATTCTGTTGTTTTTGCTGCATAAAACTTCACATTTCTTTAAAGAAGAGAAATAAAGTAGCCCAGGATGATCAAGCGTTGATGTAAAATATTGAGAAGATTTTATGGATTTCTTGTTATTTTTCACACTTTTTTTGGGGGGGGGTAGTGTCTTCCAAATTTTCCAGTTCCAGATTTCTTACTAATTTATTTGTCACCACTTCTTATGGAGGATGACACACACAGCAGAAACAAACTGCCTTGGAGATAAAGTCCTGGGTTATACGTATGTCGTTGATCACAAAAAAAACACCTATATAGACTACAAAGAAAGAAATCAAAACCAGACAACCATCCCAAAGGCCATCTAGTTTTCTGCCATTCTTTCAACAGATAGGAATTCTTAGTTCATACACTGCTGTCAGCTTCTAAAAACCTTCTCTTGATGGAGATTCTCACAATTTATTGTTTATGTAATCCACAAGATCTTTGTTCTTACTATTTTAAAAGGATTCCCCCAAGCCTTAACCCACATTCCAGTTCTAAACACTTTTAAACATAGGTGCCCAAAACTCACAGAGAAATAGGGCTTCTTCCACTAAGTGTTGTAGGATTGAAACCTTAAATCCCCCCCCCCCCCCGTGCTGTGTGCATTTTACATATGTGAAGATGGTCATCCCTCCTTTAATCACTTTTCTAAAGCAGATGTTTTGTTCAAATGCTTCATACTTGTTTCTATTTGCTGAGTCTTTTTCCATTCATTAATACATTACTTTACTTTGAATTTGATGCAAAGATTAGATATGCCATTATGAATGAGTATTTAGTTTTATTTAATACAAATTTACATGGTTTGGAAGTAATTGATAGCATATGCTTTACTGTTTTGGCTAATTGATGTGACAGATTAATTACCTTGAAGATACTAAACTAAGAGGCTGGGTTATTGTATACAACAGACAAGTACCTTCACACTTAAATTCTTTTTGCGAAAACAGTGTTTTAATGTAGCTTTTTTTTTTAAAAAAAGAGAAAGATATATTCTATGTGCCTAGTGAATGATTTCAGATATTCTACAAGTGCAGAATGTCTTTTGAAGTTTCCTTCCTTGTAGTTAAAAGTAGCAACCTGTGGTTTAGAAGAGGATGTTTGGGGAATGTAATTTGAGCAAACCCAGACATTCAGGAGTACAAACTGCAGTAGCCCAGATGTTCTGTAGGAAGACCAACTATTTGAAGAAGGTACATGTATGGAACTCCCTAAGCAGTTCTTGTCTAAATGGAAGGTAAAGGGAACGCATTTTCAGTTGTATGAATTTTTTTTTAACCATGAGTTATTGGTTCCAACCTGCACTTCACAAGTAAAAGGGCATGCTTATGATCATAGAATAATGGAATGGATAAGAATTTCTCTTTATAACCAATCTGTATCATACACTATTGCTAGTTTTTCAGCTTTCTGCAGAAACTGCAACTGATACAAACTGCTATCTAATAAGGGTTAAATCAAACTGTTTCCTAATGTTTTAGACAAATGTGCTATTTAAACAAGAAGAAAATGGATAAAATGGATAAAGAAGAAAATGTTTACAGTAGTTGGATTGCACTAAGGTCTTACTAAAAGCAGTGGGACTTAAGTGGCATGTTTATTTATCTGTATGTTTATTTTTTGAACTGACATTTGCTCAGAGAAGTATGTAAGTTATGAGAGAAGGTATTCTGAGAGTGCTTCTAGACAAGGCTTTTATTGTGTTATTGCATGCTTTAAGTACATACTTTTACAGGGCTAGGGGCAGGGAGAAGATCCAGGCACCATCTTCCATCTGTAACTTTCCCATGTTTTCCCAATTCTTCTTCTTTATTTTACTTTCTTATCTTTCTTCTTGCTAAAAAGATATTTTAGGAAAGGAAAGACATAATAGCTGCACAATACTTTTTAACTGATAGTGCTTAGGAGTTCTCTGTGCAGATTTACTCTGAAAGCTGGTAAAACTTACCAAAGTTTTATAACTTCAACTGATATCAGTGCAGTATACTACCAAGGAGGTGCTTAATATCACATTGTCACTGAGCTCTCTTACCTGAGAATAAATTACCTTAAGCCCCAAGGACTTCTTTAACAGTAGGTAAAGGTAAAGGTTCCCCTTGACAATTTTTGTCCAGTCGTGTTCGACTCTAGGGGGCGGTGCTCATCCCCGTTTCCAAGCCATAGAGCCAGCATTTGTCCGAAGACAATTTTCCGTGGTCACATGGCCAGTGCGACTTAGACACGGAACGCTGTTACCTTCCCACTGAAGTGGTCCCTATTTATCTACTTGCATTTGCATGCTTTTGAACCGCTAGTTTGGCGGGAGCTCACTCCGTTGCGTGGCTTCGAGCTTATGACTGCTTGGTCTTCTGACCCTGCAGCACAGGCTTCTGCGGTTTAGCCCGCAGCGCCACCATGTCCCTTCTTTAACAGTAGTTGTGCATAAATTTACACTGTCAATGCTTTAAATCTGGCCCAGGCGTTAAAAAAGATCCCATATAAGTGAGCTTAGTCCTCAGTATCACTGTATTAGCATTTTGATGAAGTACCCTAAATCCTATTGGCTAATTTTCTCAGTTTTTAATGTAAGCAAATGTAACATACATTCATGCTTCTGATAACATTTTGTAATGAATAAGAAAGACATCTGTAGGGTACTTTTAGCAAGTAAATGTTTGCTTGTGGGTACCCCTCAAATACCTGACAATTCTGAGTAGTGAATGCTTTTATTTTTGAACCTTTTGTATAGAAATATTATCTGCAGAAATGCAGAGGCCATCCACTGAGGAACCACCACAGGGCTTAATGAAGTTCTGTTTTGCTAGTTCTAGGCACAATCCTGTGTGCACAATTGCTCCTTCCCTCTTGTTTGCATACAAAGGTACAGTGGTGCCTTGCTAGACAGTTACCCCGCATGACAGTTTTTTCGCTAGACATTGACTTTTTGCTATCGCTATAGTGATTCACAAAACAGTGGTTCCTATGGGGGAATTTCGCTGGACAATGTTTGGTCTCTGCTTCGCAAACCGATTTTCACTAGACGACGATTTTGACAACTCTCTCTGCGTTCGCAAAACAGGCGTTTTCGGGACCAAGCTTCGCAAGACAGCGATTTAAACAGCTGATCGGCAGTTCGCAAAGCGGCTTTCCTATGGCCGATCTTTGCTAGACAACGATGATTCTTCCCCATTGAAACGCATTAAACATGTTTCAATGCATTCCAATGGGGAAATGCTTTTTGCTAGACAATGATTTAGCTAAACAGCCATTTCAGTGGAACAGATTATCATTGTCTAGCGAGGCACCACTGTATCAATTTTAATGGGGTGGCTTCTGGCTTGTACAGTTGCAAGCTGGAGACTAAGCTTAGGAAAATGCAAGAAAAATCTAAAATACTGCATTCTGCTCTAATTAAAATTAGTCATGACTCAGATCTTTTGAAAGCCACTTGTTCTATTCCTTTAAATCAGGGATGAGCAATCTTCAGGGGTCTGAGAGCCACATGTGCTCACCTGTGGACCTTAGGAGGATTACAAATGGCAGATGCAGCCTGGACTGTCTGCCAACCCCCAGGCCCATAAAAGGGGCTGATCTGACATCATGCCCACTTGGAAAATATATATTTTTTCTTTTAAAAGTTTTTTTAAAAACTTAAAAATTCTCCCCATGCTCTCTAGTGACAAAAGGTTAATGAATTCCAGATGGGGCTAAATAAGCCAGGGGAGTTCCCCCCAAAAAAGGCACAACTCAGCAAAACTATTTAAAAAATAGTTTGTGGAAGGTAGTCCTCGCCAGGGATGAGGGTTTAGGATATTTGGGCCCCCAGATGGTGCATGCCAGTTTAACCACTGTGCCACTGAGCCTCGTGGTGCAGTGGTTAAACCATTGTACTGCAGTCAAAACTGTGCTCATGACCTGGGGTTCAATCCCAGGTAGCCGGCTCAAGGTTGACTCAGCCTTCTATCCTTCCGAGGTTGGTAAAATGAGTACTCAGCTCACTGGGGGGGCAATGTGTAGCCTGCATAATTAATTTGTACACCACCCTGAGAGTGCTTGAAGCGCTATGGGGCAGTATATAAGCAGCACGCATGCAGGCTGTGGTTGCAATTGACCCATTCCTACTCTGAACAGGTAAAATTAAATTTAGGTAGCCTATGATTCCTGAGTGCAGATGTAATGATTCTGGAACTGCAATTCAAACCATATTCACATGGGAATAAGTCCCATTGAATTCAGTTACACATTGTTGTTTAGTCGTTAAGTCATGTCCAGTTGTTCGTGACCCCATGGACCAGTGCATGCCAGGCCCTTCTGTCTTCCACTGCCTCCCAGAGTTTGGTCAAATTCATGTTGGTAGTGTCGATGACACTGTCCAACCATCTCATCCTCTGTTGTCCCCTTCTCTTGCCTTCACTCTTTCCCAATATCAGGGTCTTTTCCAGGGAGTCTTCTCTTCTCATGAGGTGGCCAAAGTATTGGAGCCTCAGCGTCAGGATCTGTCCTTCCAGTGAGCACTCAGGGTTGATTTCCTTCAGAATGGATAGGTTTGATCATTTTGCAGTCCAGGGGACTCTCAAGAGTCTCCGCCAGCACCACAATTTCAAAAGCATCAATTCTTCAGCATTGACACTTAGTTCTGAGTAAATCCATATAGGATAGCACTACTCAGTTTTGAAGTAGTGAATAATTTGTATATTTGGAGTGTTTTAAGATTGGACCTGGGAATTGTTGGTGCAATCAGAAATCACAGGTTAGTTTAGATTTAGGCTAACTCTCCTGTAATCATTTACTGTTTTGTGTTCTTACAAGTTCTGCTGTATTGCTGTATTTCCATAGAAAGAAGAGCATACACTATTTACAATTAGAATTTAGCAGACAATAAAAAAAACCTAACTATAAAACTGAACATCTAACACTCTAGTAAAGACAAACAAACCCAAATCCAGCAGATTGTTCATTCCAACAGACATGTTGCCGCTGGGTGAATTTTTCCTACTAATCAGCTTCCAAAAAAAGAATAAACAGCTTCCTGAGATACATCAACCAAAGCAAGTAAGTACTCCCACAAGAAGATCAAAAGCTAAATCTAAATGAGATGATGAAGCACTTCCATATATCATTGTTCTTGGCATTCAGTAACTCTTCCAACAGCTGAACAAAGGATACAATCATTTCTGAAGAAAATTGTTTGATCCATCATCCATTTTTTAATATTCTTGTGAGAAAAGGCTTCAGAACTTTAAGAGCCAAATTAGATTGTGATACTAAATACATTGATCACAATTATGTCTTTAGAGGGGGAAAAAAGCTAAGTGTAGCAGAGGGAGAAATACAATGTGCCAAAAATCAATATACTCTTCAGCATTTTGTACTTACCCTTAGACAGTCAGCTCGCACTAGAACCAGTGAGAGCTTTCTTCCAAAGATGGAAAAAGTTATTACTTTTCGGACTATAACTGCAAGAATTATACAGCGAGCATGAGCTGGTAAAAAAGAAGAACCCAGTTTCAGTGTGTCTATGTGACCATGCAAGGAGATAGATCACATTTTGACCCCCAGTGGACTGGTTTCCAGATGGAGCCAGCCTTCTTCTTGTGGGAGTAATTTAAAATCTGGCTTGGAAACAGGGATGAGCACTGTCCCCTAGAGTCAGACACGACTGGACTAAATGTCAAGGGGAACCTTTACCTTTACTTTGATACTAAGCCAAAAGCAACAACAAGCAGATCCCTATATTTTTTGTAGTATCTTTATTGCATGTTATGAAATCTGTTTAGATTCTCTCACCCTCTCCCACCAGACTAGACATAATGTACCCAGATGTAAAACTTAGGGACTTAGGGCTCCTGTATTTGGGTCCTTAAGAGAGAGCTCCTGTTCCTTAAATGTAAATACTGTACTAACAGAGTTGCCTCTACAGCATTTTTATGTGTCTTCTGCCATAGAAATGCAATGGTGAAATAAGTGGCATTTCACGTACTCCAAGTACTGTACATTTGATCTGATTTATCAAAAAATCAGTACATAGTTTCTAGTGGTATCAAAATATCCAGACTATCCAGAGGCCTGAATCTCCTTCCTGATGGTAATAGTTTAAAGAGCTGATATCCCGGATGAGAGGAGTCTTTCAGTATGTTAGATATCTTCCTCTTACATCTGTTCTTATATAATTCTTATGTATTAATGTACCCAGATGTAAAACTTAGGGACTTAGGGCTCCTGTATTTGGGTCCTTAAGAGAGAGCTCCTGTTCCTTTA